AATATAAAAATCACTTACAATTTTTCTTCACAGAGTTATTGTCTCTGTTGATGTCTGCTCTTTAGCATGTTTAATATTGGTCCAGTAATAGATAAATACTATTCTTGTTCAGTCATGAAAAAGATGAATCATCAGTGGGAACCTTTGACTTTATATTTGGAAAGCTTAATTACACATTGATTTTACATCAGGCAATCATTTTATTTCCCTCTAGACTATACAATCAAAACTAGCAAAATATTATAATGAGCTTTTGTATTTTTAGTTAGCAATTAGCAGCTACTGCTTTCCATGTTCAAATGAGGATTAAGTGAGAAGACTTTCATGATGTATGCTTTGTAACAGGTCTCATCACCTGGGATTCAATTTTACATTCAGGTTTGAAGCGATTCCATGCTCCATCTCAAAGCTATCTAAGCCGTGGTCTATCTTGTGATAGCTATGAGTTCGGTTAATTAGTTATGAATAATGTCAATAAGTTCTTTTAGGCATGAATTCTGGGTTTCCTATCCACTTAATTGAATGTCCCCAATCTGCAGTGTTAGTATTTCTACCATTGCTGAGAACCAGAATACTATGTAATATTCAAAATGTGGCTGCACCTTTTGGGGCATGCAGGCATATTTGCAGCTTGTTGTTAATGCCTATTTATCAGAGATAAATGTTTGACTTTGGTTCTCGGTACTCTTTCTACTTGTACTCTGCAGGGAATCCCCCATTGCCCACCATTTTTATTTTCTAAAAATGCTTATGAGCCCAAATATATACTGTGTTAATTATTCCCGGTTCTAGAAACTGCTTTTTTTTCATTCCATTTTCCTTATTCAAGTATTTGTTTCTTTTGGTAAGCAAAGCATTTTGTTAAAATAAATGAAGTCAAATAGAACAGGGAGCTTGGCAGATACTCATCCACCCCAGAAGAAGTCAGAATTGAGAAAGCCAAAACTATCAACGATTGCTCTTCATGATTGCTCCAGGTTGGAAAAAAAGTGCCACAGAACACTTGATTGTGGGTTTACTCTCACACTCCTCATACCATGGCACCATCATAAAAGGTTTTCAAAAATCATCTCCTTAAGACAGGTGGAAAGATTTCATCATAATCCTTGACAGGCTTTTGGAAGTATCTTTTGGTGATGAATCTGACTTTATAGCATTGGATGTCCACTTCTGCATCCCATTTAATACAGAAGAACCATTAGCATTCAATGGATTTCCCCCTTTTAGGAACTTTGTGAAACTTTGTTTTATTCCTGTGAAGAGATTAAAACACTTTTCTACTAGCTCGTAGCCACACATTTGGTCTCTCTGTGTGTGTCTCTGTGTGTGTGTGTGTGTGGTACCCCTTCAATTTGTTGCCTTGTGGAAGAAGTTAATGTCTCTTCTTCTCGGTCTGACAGGATAAAACCTTTAGGTGGCACCATCCTATCGTGCCTGATTGAGAGCTGTTCTACTGGCTCAAACTCCACTCTCCTCTTGTTCTGGTTGCTGTGCCACCATTTCTGCCTCTTACTCTTTGTAGTCTTTTCTTTATATAGAGAGGCCAAAACCTATATTGAAAAGTCATTAATAAAGATCAGGAAATATAAATTCATTCCTGGAATTAAGGTTAAATATTGTAACAAAATTTGAAAGAAGGCCACAAAATGTTAGAGGCAACCTCTAGGGAAAAGCACTCAAGAAGCCATTCTCTGGAAGTTAGAGAGACATATTCACACATACACAAAGCCACACAAACAGCCATTCTCAAACACACCATTTATATGGCTACCTACCTCACCAATGCAACTCTGGTTGACGAATAGAATTAAAATACAATATATATTTTAAGAATACAATAAAAACACTGTTCCTAACCAGCTAACAGAAACATGACTCACCAATAGTGAGTCACTCATCAATAGTGTTTTAAAAACCAATGTAACGGTGACCCTTTTTTATATATCACCCAAGATCTATTATCTTTGACAAAAAACATTAGAAATGTTTACTCCGGTCCAAGAAGAGGCAGAAAATCATGGCAACGACTGATTTGGCCTATCCCAAAATATATTCCAAATGTGGTGTGACGCCATGAGGTTGGTGTAATAAAAACTGTAAACCATATTTGGATATGAATTTTCTCTTAGCGGTTAAAGGGTTTTTTTTCCCCCTTGTGGGATTAACACGTCTCATTTTAAGTAATGACTTGGGGTAGGATATTGGATGAGAAATCGAAATACTATGATTTTCTATACTTAATGCAGTTCTTGTGATGGGATCAGAGGCAGCCTTAAACAGCATGTCAAGTATCTAATTAGGTCTGGCTGCTATATCCAGAGATGAGTTCTTGCGCAGTCAATCACCTTTTTTCAAACTGGCTGGGTATCAAAGCCAAATATCAATTCCCAAATTCAGGAGAGCCTTAACTCTGGTGCCATTCAAGGCCCTCCCAACAGCTGTTTCTGCAGGAAAAGTATGGGATTTTCCATTTGAACAAAACTTTGCCCCTCTGATGAAAGAGTCTCTGAAACACTAAAAACCATGCCCTTTTTTTATTGCTTTTGTTACAGCGATGACCTGCTGCAGTTAATAATATCTCATTTACTCAGATTTCCAAGCCACCCGGATTCATTTTATTTAAAGTTCCTATTATCCAATCAAGGCAATCATATTTATCTTAATGTGGCTATGTTTTATTTTACTGTTTGTAAAATGTGTCACACCTTGACTATATCACTTCTACTATTGTTGGGTTTTAATGTGGTTTTTATTTAATGTGGTGTTTTATTTTTACTTTATGTCTTACACTTTGTTTTCTTTCTGTGTTTGAGGTGGTCCATGATTGTAATGAAGAATCATGCCTTGCCTTGTATATTGATCCAAGTAGAGTGCTGGCTTGAAATAAAATTTTCTGTGACCCATGTGAGCTCTGAGTGGCATCTTGCAGCAATTCTATTTGAAGTTCTTTAAAATGCTTTGTCTGAGAACCATCAACTCTTGACTTCTTCCCAAGTTTTATTTTTACTTTATGTCTTACACTTTGTTTTCTTTCTGTGTTTGAGTTGGTCCATGATTGTAATGAAGAATCATGCCTTGCCTTGTATATTGATCCAAGTAGAGTGCTGGCTTGAAATAAAATTTTCTGTGACCCATGTGAGCTCTGAGTGGCATCTTGCAGCAATTCTATTTGAAGTTCTTTAAAATGCTTTGTCTGAGAACCATCAACTCTTGACTTCTTCCCAAGAACAGTAGCATCTCACTTGAAAATCCCAATTTTCGTAATTTGTCTTTTACTTGATGTTTTCAAGAGCTGAAATATTTGTCTATCAGGATAACATGTATCAAACTTTGAGTTTGATAGTGGGCTTTTAGCCAACATCTGAGCAAATATAGCCATGCCCTCCCTTCTCTTTTTATAAGCACTGTCTCCCAACCTACAACAATGGGAGGCACAGATTTTACTCCTCCTCAGAATCCGCATGACCACTCCTTCGCCCGACTGCTTCGTTTGCTGCAGTTCTGCCATTCCAGCAGATGGGGGGGGGGGTAAGGTCAGAGTGAGGACTGCTAGGTGCTGATGAGCCATTTCCGAATCTTCAGGAATGATTAAGGGTATAGCAACGGAGGAAATCTGAGAGCCCCGACAACCTGCGCAGGAACGATTCAATGATTGGGGGGGGGGTAATGAGAGGACTTTAAATTGGGGTTTAGCATGTGGGGAATTTAGTTCCAGCTATTTTTTTGTGCCTTATTGCTGTGTACTACTGTTTTCTCAATAAATCTACTTGTCTCAGAACATGCATTGGTTTCGATGAGAGTTGCATTCATCGAGGACTGAGTACAGCGGTTCTTATATCTTAGGAAACTAGTTTGCGAGACATTATGGCCTTGTCTAAATATCTTGCTAAGTCATATAGTTACTTTGGCTTTGGTTTATCAGTTGTGTGACTCTAGTTAATATACAGTTTATATAATAATTATTTATGCCCTGGTGTGATCTGGGATCTCAGGATATTGTGGCTTACTCAAGAATCAATTGTTCAATGAACTATGATTTAATGTGATATATAACACCAGCCCCAGCAGTATATTTCCTAATGAAATTCCTCATTTTCATCTTAAAAGATCCTGTGTATCCATGGGAACAAAACGCTTACAGTCATTTGCACAAAGATAATGTTTAATTTGGTTTTTCCCTAATGAAAGACTGCCTATATTGCAGAAGCAAGACCTCAAATTGAATTCCAAAAATTATTGGAAAATGTTGAGAGTGTCAGCTCATCATTATATCTGATCTTGATAATAAAGCCTGGAATGGTGGTTTTCAACTTGTGGCACTCAGGATGCTGCTAAAGCAACTCACAGCACCCTGAAAAGTAGGGCCGGTAACTAGGGATATGGGATTGTAGGTCATCACCTTCTCAAGTGCTACCATTGATCCAGAGTGGAAAGGCTCTACTTCTGTCTCAGTTGTGTCTCCCTTTGAAATTTCTCTCCTTTCCTCAGCAAAAGAAAGGTAAAAGACAGAGAAAGTTCAGTGTAAGGAAAATAGGACAGGAAATATTGTCAAAAGATAATATCAGAATCTCCACAATTTAGACAGGACAGATTTGATATTCTTATTTCTTATACTGTAGATGATTGGATTGAACA